GGAATTCTAGGATACTCTATTTTCAGAATGTTATACTATAATAATTATATATCTATCACTAAATACATATACACAAATTTAAATATTGATCAAAGAGTTGTTTTGTATATATGATCATATTTGATCATTATACATATTAAACAAATATCTAATAGAATAAACCAAAGAGAACCAAAGTTCTACTAATATGCCTATTTTTTTTGTTGCATGCAATATGGAAAACCAAAAGCAAAAACCAAAAGTCAGCTATTTCTTTTATTAGAGTGTGGCAGTTAACTGAAACATGAATTTACCTTGCTTAAATTTTATGATCTTTTCTCATAGTCAATTATGGAAATCTGTTAATTAAAAATAATTATCTTCTGGAGTTATAACTGAGAACCAAAGAAGAAAGTAGTTCATTGTGATTCTCATAAATAAGTTATAGAAATACCAGACTTCTGATTCCTGGATTTATTTTAACTTTCATTAAACTAAATTCATACCATCAAGATATATTGACTATCTCTGAAGTAAATAATCCTCACAGGTTTTCTTATAATCAAGGGCAACAAAGGAAAAAAAAAGGAAAATAACAAAGATACTTTGGAAATTAAAAGAAGGAATAATAACTTTATGTTTGTAAGCACATCACATGCAAAAAGCTCTTTTAAAATCCATAATCTTGAAGAAACTAAGATTTTGAGAGATATAACAAGTTGCCTAATGTCATCTAGAACTTGACAACTGAGCTGAGATTTATTCCAAATTTCGGGCATCCCAAATTTCTGACACCAAGTCCCGTCCAGTGAACATTTCTTCATCTACAGCTGCCTCCCTTGGAACCATTTTGGTGCTGTTTTCCCTGCTCTTCTTACCTAAATTTCTCACTCTTTATCCCATTTGGGGAATTTCTATTATTCCTTCTAATAAGTTGTTACTTACGGATGTCTTTAAAACTTGAAATAACTATTCACCCAAAACTTTAAGAAATATTTGGACCAAACACAGGAATATTGTGTTACATTAAATTAGAGATTTCTGTACCCATGAACATACTATCAGATTATTCTTCATGGATGTGAGAGGTGAAGAGGAAAATGACTCTAGGGTATTAATATTCATTTTTGGACCAGATAAAACGACAGGGAAAAAAAATCAATCTGAAGCACTCTGGAGGATGTTAATAGAATTCTGACTGGTATAACAAAGGCAGTTACAAGTGCCTAGTGAGTGATTTTAATTAATGTATACACATTTTCTTCCTAATTAATTTGGATAGGAAGCCTAAATCTATCTTTTTTTTTCTCCCTGCTAAGATATATTATTACAAAAGTTGACTTTTAAAATGGCACATTGGAATATACTTTAGCACCATAAATACTTTTGGAAATGCCACATGATTTCTAGTTCATGGATCTTTTTCCATTGTGCTCATCTTTAGATGCATTTTAAACCATTGGATCCAATGGGATACATCTTTGTATTGTTTATACTTTGAAAATGTGAAGAATGTTCCCGTGAGATTCTCACCTCCTTCATTTGAATAGGTGAAGATGTTTACATGGTCAAAGGCTTTGATAAAAAGTCGAGCGTGTTGCTTTAGCCTGTGCCAATCAGAAGGAACAGTAGCAACCATACTAGGGAATAAACAGAATGAGTTGGTAGGAATCTTTTAGTTTAAAGATGTTCAGAGCTAGAATAAGATTTATTTGTAAGAATGACAGCAAAACTTATTGAGAAGAGTAGCAACATTTTTTAACTTTCAAAAATCATGGTAACCATTTATCCTAGTTATTTGGGGCTTTATGAAGATCTCATGCAAATTTAGAGAAAGAGGTCTGACTTCTACAATTAATAACTATTTTCTACAGACCTGACAGTTTAAGCTTTGATTGCTGAGGCAGTGTTGATGGAAGAAAATGGTTGGCTTGCCCCATGTTTATTGGATATAAAGTAATCTCAGACAACAGAACATAGCTCCTAACCAAGCTTTGCAGAATGGAAGTACAAGAGGGCAGTCTCAGAATATTTGACCACAGGGACTCTTCTTCCTTCACCGCATACTTAAAATTTCCAGCTCTTCTCATATATTCTGAACTGAAACTATCCTCCTCTGCTTCCCCTGCCGTCCCAAGGGCTCTGGGTGGCAGCTCAGCCAACGGCTGCAATAAATGGAAGGATGGAAAGAGTGCTGGCAGCATTTCCTCATCCAGCCCCCTGTGGCCTATGAGGTCCTGGGCTCAGAGCCAGTTCCCTGGCAAGATGTCCAGTTCTAAAAACTTCTAACCCTCACCTTGGAATACTAATGTAAAAAAGAAAGAGGAAGGTATCTTGTTGCAGCCTAGAGATTTGACCAAGTCACTTCAAATTGGACTTTACAGGCATTTTTCTCAGAGAAAGTTTGCAGCTTTGGGAAACTATGTTTGATGTTCCAAACTATTGGCTTAGAGACCAACCTGTGGCACACAGGTTAATCACAAGAAAAGGGAGGCAATGGAGAAAAAGAAACAGAGGTCAAGTTAGGATTTAGTCTTGCTCCAATTATGGCCATCCAAAAAGTTCCGAAACCACATTGAAAGCTGAGGATGACAATAGTAATGACAGGTGATGTTTCTTTTTATTATTACTATTCTCCCTTTTTATTGTATATGTATATATAATATTTCCAACCTGACTTTTATTTTATTTTAACTTTCATTTTTTTCTGCACAGATATTGTACATTTTTTGTGTAGTTAAATCTTACAATTGTGTCTTTTATGATTTATGATTTTTATGCTTTGTTTATGAAACCCTTCTCTGCTTAAAAGTTACAAAGGTACTGTGCTATATTTTCTTCTAGTCATTTTAAAGGTTTTAACTCAAATGGAAATTCTTTTAAAACTTATTATGATATGTGTAACTTTAACTTTAAAAAAGTCAAATGGATAATTAATTATTAAAATACAATTTACTGAGAACGCATTTTTTTCCCCAATCTTTGGATTGATCATTTCTGAATTCTTCCTCAATTTCAATGTATAAGTGAGTTTTCTAAAAGACATAGACTAAACCTAAAGGTAGCATACTGGGAGACTATAACAAAGATAAATCTCCAAACATATCCTACATTAAGAACCAATAAATAATGTAATTTATCCTGGAGAAGGTAAAAGATGATTACAGTCAGCCCTCCCTATCTGCAGATTCACATCCATGGATCCAACCAACCACAGATTGAAAGGCCTATGATAGTTGTCTGTACTGAACATGTACAGACTTTTTTTTCTTGTTATTATTCCCTAAACAATACAATATAACAACTATTTACATTGTTTTAGGTATTATAAGTAATCTAAAAATGATTTAAAGTATATCGGAGGATGTGTATACTTTATAGGCAAATATTACGCCATTTTATACATGGGACTTGAACATCTAATCTATGGGCATAAAGTTTCAGTCAGGCAAGATGAATAAACTCTAAAGATCTGTTGTACAACATTGTGCCTATAGTAAACAATAATATATTGTACACTTAACTTTTTAAGAGGATAGATCTCACGGTAAGTGCTTTTCCCACAATAAAATCAAACAATTTTTTTAAAAAAGAAAGATACATTTTGTCAACTTCTTTAAGCGTATATAACATGATCAGTACTATACTTTTAGATTTGTCAACACATGGAATCATGAATGATGAGGACTGCCTGAATTCTACTGCTAACACGTATGTGGATTTTAAAAGGAGCTAAATATTTTCCATATATAAACACAACCTTATTACTGAATATTTTTCTAAATAACCTTCACAAAGGTAAGAGGTATATTGAAGATTTAATAGAGTATCATTAAAAGTTTCAATAGGTTCTAAGATTCCAATTAACTTTCATTTACGTTTTAAAAAAATTTTGTATCTATAAACATATATATATTATTTTTGAGGAAGGTTAGCCCAGAGCTAACATCTGCCACCAATCCTCATCTTTTTGCTGAGGAAGACTGGCCCTGAGCTAACATCCATGCCCAGCTTCCCCTACTTTATATGTGGGACTCCTGCCACAGCATGGCTTGCCAACCAGTGGTTAGCTCTGCACCCGGGATCCAAACCGGTGGACCCCAGGCCACCGAAGTGGAACATGCGAACTTAACCGCTACATCACTGGGTTGGCCCCAACTTTCATTTACTTTTTAAAAGGAATTACTACTCTGTGCTAATGTTTTTTCCCTGAGCTAAATGAATCAAAATGAAGCATAAAAAGTTGCTTTATGACTGACATATATTTCCTTCACTACTATCATTGTAGACTCTGTTTAAGAAAATAATTCTCAACAAAAGAGTAAAAGGAAGAACGCCATATTTACTTTTTCCATTCAGAGACAACACTGAATGGAAAAATACTTGGGTCCCTCATGTCTTCACATCATAATATTGAAATAAATTATTACAAATTCAGACAATGTTAACAACATTACAATCTTCTAGCAAGCTTAAGTTAATTATAAATCATATCGAAAATATGATTTTCATGTATTATAAAAAGTTACTACAGGAAGTTGGCAGTAAGCAAGAGAAGGGAGATGATGGCAGAGCGGAGAGATGGAAAAAGAAAACCAACGCAATTATCTTCAAATATTTGAAGGGCTTGCATGTGGGAAATCGAATAGACTTTTTTTGATTGCCTCCCAGAAGCAAAACTTAAGTCAAAGTTTGGAAGATATGGAAAGATAGATTTCATTTTAATATAAGGAAGAATCTTTCACAGTGTTCAAGAGTGGAATGACCTGTTTGGGAACTAGGGGGTTCCCTACAAACAGAAGATGACTTCTCACTATTTGCAAATGATCTAGAAGAGCTTTGCACATTGGATGAGAACTACATGATCAACAGGATTTTTACTATTCTACTACCATTATCCTACTAAATTTAAAATTATTTCCCATTTCGAAACGTTAACTTCTTGTAAAAGGCTTATTACTATATGTAGTCAGGGACACTATAAAAATATTTCTAATTAAGTTGAAAAATAATTTACTTACACTTATCTGACATTTTTGAAGAGAAATATTCCAAAAGACCTAAAATACTTGTTTCCCTTAATTCTGGCTGTTCTTTCGATTTGTCCATGGGTAAAAAAATTTTCTGTGAACTTTTACAGTCACAGAAACCAATTAAAGCAGTTTTTCGCAAATTAGAAGTGGCCGCATACAAGCAGATTTCTGCAAGAATTGTTGTATACATGTAGACGACATTCCAGGCCCAGGAAAAATTGTTTACCTTGCAGGTTTGCTCCTGAAATGAGAGGATAGCTATTAGATAATCAAGTATGTTGTGTCATAATTAAGAACTATCCACTGTACTTACAATAAAAAATATCTTCAAATTGTATGGAGTTGCTAAAAGATCATAATCAATTAATATTTCTAAAATGCACTCACTAAAAAACAGTTTCTCCATAGGTAGATTACATAAAACCTAGTTTAAAGAACAAAAAATACAAATAGTTAAAAAAGTATTATAAAGAACAATAAGTTTTCAATTTCCTAGTAATCAATGGAATGTAAATTAATCCAATGATATACTGTTTTCCATATCACATTGTAAAACAATCTTTTTTACATAAAGCTCAATTCTTATGTGTGGCACTTTCACACATTTTCTGTAGGAAAGCAAGAAAATTATATCTTCTGGAGAGGAACTTGGACATTTGTCCCAAGAACGAGAAAAGAAAGTTCATAGTCTATCCCTTAGTAATTTAACTTTATGAATTTATTCTAAAGAAATAGTCATAAATGCAGATAAAGATTTTATGTCTGAGAATACTAGTTCAACATTAACTGTAATTAACTGTTAATGATTAGAAACAAACTCAATGTTCAACCAGAGAGGAACGGTTAAATTATCTCATCCCCACTAAAATGCAAATTTTAATAACATCTAATGACAATGAACAATGTTTTTATGATATGTTTTAAATTTTTTAAAAGAGGAAACTAAACCATGTATGACTATATGACCTCAAGTTTGTTAATAAAATTTAAAGTCCTTCTCGCACGTGCATGTGTGTGTGTGTGTATAATCTACTTCTATATCTCTATCTCCATCTGTCCATCTATCTATAGTGGGATATATGGTAAAAGTGCACTAGCTTTTATATTTAATTAAAATAATTACTACAAAGTTATGCTCACTGTAAGCCCAAATATGATATCCAATTTAAACAGTGGCAAAAATAAAGTTTGTTTCTATTCAGGTCTTTTTGCACAACTAAATTAAAAAGATACTGTTACCTGCTTCTGAACAGACATAATGCTTAAAAGAAAATCTCTCATCAGTTCCATTAAAGCTTTCAAGCAGGGCATGTTTAATTTGGCAGTCTCCCCAAGGACCAACAAAGCCAGCACTGAATCCAACCTGGGAATTTTATGAACAAAATAACAGACTTTAATGTAAAATAATAAATAATAAACAATTTTTAAATGGAAAAAATATAATAGGCCAGAGGAAATGAGTATCCTGGATTACTAGATACATTTACTTTCAATAAAGATTAGTATTGATTGACATTAGTTATGACAAAAGTGTACAAGAAAGAACCATATTTTGCCAAGATGTTTGAGTTCAGAGTAGTGTTCTGACAAAACTCTGAGCATAATAAATGCTACAAATGATCACGTTTCTTCATAGATCCTGTATAACAAGCAATCAAAGACTCTGGTTCTAGAGAATGTCCCCAAATGTCTCACAATAGGTTTTGATTTTTAATTTTGTTTTTTTTGAGGAAGATTAGCCCGGAGCTAATATCCACTACCAATCCTCGTCTTTTTGCTGAGGAAGATTGACCCTGAGATAACATCCGTGTTCATCTTCCTCTACTTTACGCGGGATGCCTGCCACAGCATGGCTTGACAGCAGTGCATAGGTCCACACCCGGGATTCAAACTGGTGAACCCTGGGCCGCCAAAGCATCATGTGCAAACTTAACCGCTGTGCCACCAGGCAGGACCCCTGATTTTTAACTTTTTGCAAGTGATTCCAAGGGGTGAATTTCAAGAGAGTGTTTTCTTCTCAAAATAGAGAACAAATTAAAAAAACGGTCTCCTTAAATATTCCAAAATTTATTTGGAATAAATAATTCCATATAAATTCCATTTATTTGATTTTACAAAAAGTACAACTTATCAAAACAAAATTTATATTTTATATTGAATGGAAGACTGTTGAGATTTATTTTTTAAAATATTATATAATAACTGGGAAATCACACAAGAATTTATTAGCCATAAATGTACACAGTTTCAGGAAATCATACATTTAGTGCTATTTTTACCCAATTGAAAGAGATACAGTTTCAAAGCGAACTGATAAGAACATAAATATAAAAATGCCTCTGCCTAGAGAAGCACGTTGCCTTGATTTATAGGCCATTAATAAATTAAAGAGTTAGTATATTTTACAATGATATTTGCATTTCATTACTGTGATATTTCAGGCCAGTAAATCAAGTTCATCATCAATTTCAAAAGAAAACACATCTAATTATGGAAAAAGAGAGAACTTTTTATATTTGAATAGAGCTTTAGAGATCTCAATGTGCTTTCATATAAATTACCTCATTTCATCTGAACCACAATTTTTGACACATTCAAGACCTTTTAAAAATCTTTTTTTCAAATATTAGAAAATTGAGGCCTAAACAGATCTGGGAGATACGCCCAAGTTCATGTTCTAAGCTCAGTTAACTATAACTGAAGTCTTCTCCCACCTATGGGGATTTCCTGTTTTGCAATTTTGCTTTTCCAAACCATTATTTAAGTACATCAAGATTTAACCTTAATATGACAATGCTGCCTGTTGCCTACCTAATACTATTTCTGTCCTTCTTCCTTTCAGAATCAAATCTGAATTTTATTCAAGATGGCAAAATGCTCAGTTAACATTTCCTCCTCAAAATGGAAATGTTCTATATCTTGATTGAGGTATGATTATATAAGGCGTGTGCATTTATCAAAGGTCATAGATCTGTATACATAAAATGGGTGAATTTCATTGTATGTAAATTATACCTCAATAAATCTGATTTAAGAATGCCTCCCCAGACTCCCTTGAAGCTTGGAATAGCCATACATGTAGAATGGAGGTACATAATGAAAGGCGTCCAGGTAAATTATTATGTTTCCGAATAAGAAAAAACAGATTAAATTTAGATAACAGGTGCTTTTTCTCCTTTGCTCATCCTTTTTCACCTGCCTGGAATGCATACATGAAACCAAAAGGTAGAACAGCTGTCTTGCCAACAAGGATAAAAGTCGCATACTAAGAACGGAAGAAAAGGAAGTTAGGAGTGTGGGTCTTGAGGATTCCTTAAGCAGATGTGACAGTAGTGCACTGCTTGATAATTATGTGCAATACATAAAGCCTAATTGGTAATGCAAATGTTGTCAGGTTACTCTTACATGCAGAAGAACTGAATCCTAATTGATACACAAGATAACATGATGTTTATAAGCATAAACTTTAGAGTCAGAAAAATTAGAGATGGGATCTGAGCTCTGACACTATATGTGTATGACATAGGGCAATTGGCATATGCTACCTCAGTCTTAATCTCCCTTATAAGGTAAATACAGCAAAACCTACTTTTCAGAGACTACTGTGAGATTTAACTGAAATACTCTATGTAAAATGGCCAGGTTTAACATGCTGAACTGAATTGAATTACAAAAATACTATTCTTTGAAAGTCAAAGGATATGAGTTTGATAACTTCCTTTCTCTTTGAAGTCCCAGAGTGACTGAAGGAAGAGGTCCAGATGTCCTCAGAGATGAACAAGGAGTGAGTCACTCTCCAGAGTACTCATCACCCATTCTTCACAATAAGGTCAAGTAAAAGAAACGATAGTCTCAGAGTTCACAAAACTTCTTTTCCCCCAAATATACGTCATAGTCACAAGGTTTTGGTTCTTCTGCTCTCTTTTAAGTCTGGAAAACTGTAACTAACCTAAGGCAGTCTCACTGAAATAAGGATTGAAAAAGATCTATCAGTGTCAGCCATCTAGGGTAGAAAAACGTTTCGCCAGAAACACACTATTTTCAATCAATGCTGCTGATTGCAAAATTTTCTATTAGTGAAAATTCCTTTACCAGAAATAGAATAGAAGCATCAATACTTATAAGTTGGAGTTTATTAAAAATCAAAACTAAAATCAATGCATATAGAAAGAAGAATTCAAATTGGATTAGGTTAGAAATTTTTATACACCAGCTTCTTTGTAAACCATTATAGCACACTAAGTCTCACTTATTAGTACCCTGACTTAGTTTTACAATGCCATGAGATTCCATGTGTCCAAAGTAATTTATAAATATTATAGATTTCCCCCTAATTTTGTAAATAAAGAAATTGAGGCAGAGGTTTACTGGCGTGTCTAAAATAACATAGTTACTTGATTCATTTTACTTTTGTTTTTTTAGCTTTTAAAATTAATGTGAACCATGCACACAGCTAAACAGTACCAAATCCTTAACTGGACTTCCTCTAGCCTAGCTTCAGTCCGATGTTCCTTCTACACTAATATAAATCAGCTAAAATACAATAACTAGGGGCTTCTTAAAATCTATCTCATACAACCTTATAAAAAGGTTAGGAACATCAGCATTCAAAACAGTGTTCCTAGGTTCTCCTTACTCTTCGCATCTGTTTCTTCAATGACCAAATCATTATTTTAAAAGATAGAATTAAAATGTCTCCAAGTTGCAACCCTTGCACAGGGTTATTTCAGCCTTTCAAAAAAACCCTGGCAATGTCAAAAAATCCACACAAGCCTGAAGACAGAATGAGAGAGAGGTTACTACCTTATATAGAATTTCCACTAACCATAAAATTAATGGAACTGGATTAAGAAAAGCAAGAAGGAGTGCCCACATGCCTATTCATGAAACACAGCAGCCTTGTTTCCCCAAAGAAAGTTAAAAGAAAAAAAATTAAATAAAAAGAAAATGATCTCTACTGTCTACTGTGTTTTTCATAGAAACAGAAAAAGTTCAGTCAATCCTTTACTTTGGGGTAAGGATTTTTTAAGGAGGTAGGGTATTATTTCTCTGTGTCATCCTCAGCTCTCTATACTTATTTAGCACTGACAACGTCTAGATGATATAAAGGGTAGAAACCAGTCCCCCCCAGGATGTGTATGTAGACGTGGGTGGCGGGGGCAGAGTGCTATCATGGGAGCAGCGGAGTGTATTTTCTCCCCGAGGGTAAAATATCAAAGAGCAGGAGCATATAGTGTGGTCCCTGATGATACTGCATATTAAGTGTGGTAGCTTTTAACAACTCTGTTCTGTATTCTGTCAACACAAACGTCTTATTTAAAAAATACCAAGTTTTTATAAATTTCTCCTAGTTCTGGGAAAAGTAAAATTGAAAATGGAGGAGGGAGCCCTACATGAGACAAGTGAAAAATACATTACGGCAAGAGCTAAAGACAATATCAGTCTGCATGCTCAGAGAAGATCACACTTCTGAAAATGATTTCTTACAGGAAGCAGAAGATACTTTTACAAGACTCTTAAACATCTTTAACAAAACCCAGGAGGAAGAAATGGCAATGAAAAGCCTCCATACTGAGCTAAAAGTTAGTATGGTGAGAAAACAAGAGATTGCAAGGAAAGTAAAACTACAAAATATAATTCAAATCCATACGTGAGGAAGTCAACTGTAAAACTGACACATGGAAGTGAGCAAACTTGAAAAGTTCTTCCATAATTTAGAAGAAGACAATTGCAATTAAAGCTGGCAAACTGAGACCCATTACTTTTTTTTTTTTTTTTTGAGGAAGATTAGCCCTGAGCTAACATCTGATGCCAATCCTCCTCTTTTTTTGCTGAGGAAGACTGGCCCCAAAGTAACATCTGTGCCCATCTTCCTCTACTTTTATATGTGGGACACCTGCCACAGCATGGCTTGACAAGCAGTGTGTAGGTCCACACCTGGGATACGAACTGGCAAACCCCTGGCTGCCAAAGCAAAATCTGCAAACTTAACTGCTGCACCACCAGGCCAGCCCTAGACCCATTACTTTCTAATTCCTATTGCAACAACCAAAGAAACATAAAATCAAGACAAAATCTGTAGTACCACAATAAAAGGAAGAAAAAAGGAAAGAAACTTTAAGGTTTTTCAAGTTATGAAGAAAATGGGATCCAAATGAAGGAAAATCTTTCCAATGTCTAGAAGCCCAAAATTTAATTTAAAATTTAATGTAGGCATATATGGGTTTTCCATGATAATTTAAGAAAAAACCTAAGCACTGAGAAGCAGGAGTTGAGAACACATGTGAACGATGAGTAGTCAATGGAAGGCCTTCAGAAAATGTAGAGCAGTAGCCACAGCATTAATGCACAGCTTCACACACT